GAGCTCTATCGAACCATATAAAAGTCTCTAGAAAAACAATAATTCGCTTGAGATATTATAAGCATATTTTATTTTCGCAAACATATAAGATTCAAAATATTTAGTCATAAATATCGATGAAATTTGAATTTTTTTTTTTGAGATTATAAGTTTAATCTATGTCTACAAAACTACGCCATTAAAAACTATTGCGCATATTGAATTTGATAGAGTTGAATCGAATTAGAACTAATGGTTTCGATCTCTAACCAGCTGCGTTTAGGTCGCCAAAAGATAAATACTTTTTGTTAACACTTTCGCACTATAGATTATATTCATTTGAATTTATAAAATAATCTCATACAAATCGTTGTATATGCTAACGTACGATTCATAGATAATGAACAACCTTGAAATTACGACTATGAAAATAAACGTTATTTTTAGTATCTTTCTACCATTTGATTCTCTCTCAATTAACCTAAACATCATTATAGTTTCAAGGTTAAAATACAGATACGAAGATGAAATCATGATACTGTAGAAAAAAAAAATATATTGTTTTTTTCTTTTTTTTAACTTACGGTTTACGAAATATACCAACACTATCAATAGATGTACGTCGTAAATATTTCATTGCTGATATAATTGTTATTGGTACTGGATGTCCAGTACGTTGTGTCATAGAAAGAAAAGAAACTCCAAAGACTAATTTTTTAATTTCATGATGAACTTCCTATAGATTGAAAACAAAGAAAAACAGCTACTAATAATTAAATCAAGTGACTTTTTATTTATTTATTCAAATAAACCTTTCGTTGTTGATGTCGTCGAATAATTAATTTTGGTACAGCACTAAATGCTGTTGCAAGTAAACATTGTCTTGATGTCATTGTTCTATTGACTACCGTAGGTTTATTGATTGATAAGATTTGTGTTGTATCAAATAATTCTTGTAGACGTATTAATGCAGCACGACGTAATGCCAATAATTGTCCAACAGACATTTGTCCTAAATGATATTTCGATGAATTAAAACTTGGACGATGTGTTTTTGTGAATGAATGCCATTTAACACGTATTTTACGACTAGTTGGTAAACGTGATGATGTATTCGTTATATTACTATTCAATGAAGATGAAGATGATGATGATGATGTTGATGATGATGATAATGATCGATTAATGTTATTAGTTAATAGAATTGAATCAATTTGTCGTTCAACACTACTTGTACCAAGACCAGAATCTTTTCGATTAGTGGATAAATTTTTATCATCATTTGATGATGTTGATGTTGGTGAACAACCTTCAATAATTAATGGTTCACTTAAATATCCAAGTGGTGTTGGAACATTATCATAAAATGAAAGACGAGTCCGATCATATATATGAAAATGACGACGAGTAAAAAGTGTTGCTTGATATGAAGATGGTTTTGTTGACATACGATTATTATCAGTTGAAGTAATCAAAGGAAAATGTTCAAATTGTTCATCACAGATTGGTGATAGACGATGATTTGTTTTATCGATAATCCTGACCTTTAGATATATGAATAGATATTTATGAATTAGTATTTTGAAGGTTAGAAAAAAAAAAATAGTTATCAAACTATTAGATAACCTCGAAAAAGAGAGAGAGAGAGAGAGAGAGAGAGAGAGAGAGACGAAAAAAAACGGGAAGAAACTTCATTTCACGCAAAAGTGACCTTTTCTTTTTTTTTTTTTCTTGACAGAACGAAACAAATTACATATGACTTGAGTATTTAATTCTTACGGGAAGAGATTCATCAATAGTCAATGAACCAGTATTTGACACAATTGTTGGTATTGTTGACGCAGATATTTTATGTCGTCGACGATGAATGTCAACTGGTCTATTAGAGTGAATTCTTAATTTAACATCATGTGTTTTATTTTCCGGACTACTACATTCAGCTTCTTTTGATGAATAACCTGATGATTCGTGATAATAATGATGAGATTTTAATAAACATGGAAGAGAACGTGGTTCAGTAATTATCAGATCCATTGAATCATCAGTTGAATTGATCATCTAAAATATATAAAAAAAAATATATTTTTATCATATAAGACAAATTTTTTCTCTCGACACTTCTATTTTTTTCTCTATGGTAATCATCGACGTCAAATTAGTTCAACAATTCTTTTTCTCTCTTATTGGATCTATGTGAATGTATGGTTGCACACGGTACGCTTTCTTTTCTCTTTCAATACTTGCTCGTTTGCATGCATATACATACGCTCGAACATGAAATGAGGTCACTACAATATTGCACACATCACACATACAACCATAATAACAATGATGAGAAGATGATGTTCGAGTATTTATATATGGAAACTGTGAACATCTTATAGAGATTTTTCTTTCTATTTTTTTTTCTCTTCTTTATTAACTAGGCGCTATATATCATTGAGAATAATGACACTGAATAAGACACATACGATCAAGGACGAAACTCTTCACAAGTGTATGCATCAAAGCTCATCTCTATGAGATCAATTTCCTTTATATGATAAGATGACAACAACTACTAGCAATAATAAATCAAACGTTAGGTGAAAAGAAATATAAGTGCTATTTCTTATTGATATGCAAGATGATTCTTCTAGTCAAAAAAGAGAAGAAAAATTATTCCATGTTAATAAACTCGAATTCACATTGATAAACCCGTTCGTAGTGAAAGTTTTGTTCTTTCATCGATTTGTATTATGTAAATAGTGTTACTGAGAATAACAATATAACCGACTAATAGCACATAACGAAAAGAAAAAAAAAAAAAAAAAGAAATAATGAAGTAGGCTACTTGAAGCAACTCCTACAGCTGCTGTTTAACTGGTTCCGTCTGTATGTCTTTCACAATTGTTCGAACAAAAGTATACTCACCCATATTATCTTCACTGTATGATTTCTATTTTGATCTTTGTCTGTCTGTCTGTCTGTCTGTCTAACAGAAAACAAGAAAGAGATTATTGTGTGAACATATGTATGGCGTAATATACAATTATTTTTTATCGATATGCACACGCACACATCGATTCATCGATGTCGACAACGACACTATGACCACGAACGAGGATTATATAAATATATATGTATATATAGAAAAAAAAAGGAACATTTTGAGTGAATCGATCGTACAATGTTGTGCAATCAATACTATTCGAATGTTATATTAAGTGTATATATAGAGAATCAATCACAACATGATATGCATGCATTTTACTCATCGTATATATGTCATTTATATCAGTTACTACGTAGTATTAATGATAGTTGATTGATCGTTTTAGTCTTCTTCAAAGAGAACGTATCTTACTTACCTACAGAAGTTTCTCTCTCTTTCGTAGATAGGTGTTCTTTTTCTATGAGAGCACAAGTGCGCGCGTGTTGAATAACAACAACGAGTCAATGTAAAACGAGGAAAAAAATATTGTAAAGATAAGAGACGAGAAGGGGAAAAGGCGTGCTTGAGGTGTAATATAACGATTACAAACGAAGCAGCAAAATTGCTGATTCGTGCGAAAAGAAAAAAAAATGGAAAGAATTGAGTAGATGACAAAAAGGATATACTAAAAAATAAACAAAGCAATATATTTTTCAATAATTAAACAACGGATTTATTATTTATTTAATAAAACTTTCCAATACATTATTTTTTTTTCGAAATTGTCTATAGATTTCAGTTAACAGATTTCGTAATAGAATACAAACAGAAAAATAATGTCCCTATGACCTCTTAAATTAATGACATAATTGTTCAATTAAAATCTTTAACATAATAAATAATTTATTTGATCAAACAACTAAGATTTTATGTTCGAATAATTGTCAATTTATTGCCCGACTTAGTTAATGTTTACGCATGGTGTCATTTGAAAATGATGATTGCATGTATTGACGTCATCAGTAAAACAAGTGAATGGATGAATACACAAATAAGTTATTAGACGTATCAATGGCAAAATAAAAGAAAATTTCTATAATGTTAGCTACTGATCGTTTAATAAACTATAATTTGATCAATTGACTATAAATAGTACAAAAATTTGTTTGTTGGTCACCCTTAGGAAAAATGACATTTCTTTTTTTGTTTATATATCTACTAGGATAGAACAGCTGGTTATAATGATTATATCGTTCATTATAATGAATTAGTATCGAATACAAGGTTGATTGTCTCAGTAAAAGCCTATGTGAAATAATTATATATAGAATTGTTTGTTTACTAACAAAGGTCATTCTTATTATTATTATTATCAAATAGTTACTATTTTATTATTTAACTACGATTGTTATGATCATATCAATCAAAATAGTTATAGAAAAAAAGGGTCCTTTTTTTGATCAAGGTAATATTATAATAAGAAAATAATTGATTGATACATTTTTTTTTAAAGTTGTTTTGCCGTGCTAATACAATATCTATTATAGTCAATAGAACATTATGATTATTAAGAAATATCCAAAGCTTTCATCTATTCATGTAATCAGCTTATTTATCATATGATAATTCTTTATACTAAAACAGAATTAATAATAAATAGATACAATGTCATCTAAGATACTTGTCATCAAAAACTTATAAATCATTTTGTATTTGTGAAAATGTATATATCAGAAAGGGGCTTAAGATTAACTTTGTATATGAAAGCAACGATGATGCATCTAACTGTAATTTTAGAAAAGAAAAAAACAGAACAACATCTTACATCGAAAATTATATAGCTCTTTGTTGTTTGTTTTTTTTTTGTAACAACGAGAATACAAAATGTCGAAGAAAGTTACAAGGGAAATCGTATCATTTTTCTAATAGCATTTGATTTATAAAGATTTTCCAATACAAGTCTTGTAAGCATATAAAGCATATCTTGGAGTACGTTCACCTTAATGATTCATTAGAAATATGATAAAATCTTTTTTATACATAAATCTAATGTGTATTTGGTTTTCATGACATATATGAAACAAAAATACAATAAACACAAGTCAATCTAATCAAAGTCAATACGACGGACAGTCATTCGACGTTTTTGTGAAACAGTCGATTGTTCTTGTTGCTGTTTTTTTGAATGTTCATTTACAAGTGTTTTTAATTGCCAATGTTTAAAAGCGATTGTTGAATTATTTTTATCAAAATTTTTATTTAAAAATTTTTCAAATAATTGTGAAGAATTTATATGAGTAGTTAATGTTTGAAAATGTTTAAGAATAAAATCAAATATCCAACGGGAATTTAATGTAAATAATGATGATTGTGAGCCATAATTCATTCGTAGAATAAAATGAATTTTTTCTTCTAGAATTGTTTCAATATCTTTATTTAATGTTTTTAAAATAACATCTATTAGATACTTTTCTTCAAAATTTGTTAATAATGGTTGTCCATTAGCTAACATAATTGCTGTTGGATCAATATCAATTTTATTTTCATTAGGATCAATAGATAATGACTGAGGATTTGTTTCTTCAATATTATCAATTGGTATTTTGTTTTCTATATTATCATCAATAATATTCGATTTAGTAACTTTCACGGGTGTAGGTATTTCTGGTGATGGTTGCCGAACAGGAATTTTCTTTGCCGTAACTTTTCCAGTGCGTATTGACATTATTTCTATCTACATTGAATGAAGAATTGTTATGAATACTGTTTACTACGCATCGATTTCGATTTTCTATGGAATTCTATTAATTTGCCATTGGTTTTATTTCATATCAATAAACGATTTCGAAAGTATGGCTATAATTGGCTAGTTATAGAGTCGATCTTTTCATTCTTGTTTTGTTTTCTGTTCTTCTATTTCGAACATATTAAATGCCATGTTACTTTTTGTTTAAATCAATCTAATGAATTAATAACGAAACTACGTAGACAATACGTACGATCGAGAAATCGTATGGAATTCGAAAATAGTTATTGAACAGCTTAATTGGTACAAACTAGTTTTCCAATTATAGATTTGAATTGGCAATGCATATAAAATAAAATGGTGTTTTTTGAATTGATTATTGATCTAACTATAACTAAAGTTTAAGTTGAATATCGATCTTGGTTGAATGAATTATTTTCTTTTTCGTCTTTCTGATGCATACTACTTTATTTCTTTCTTTCGTGATATATTTCATGCTAAAAAATTAATTTTGACTTTTCTCAAAATCTATAGTCAAGAACAAGATAGTCTCCGGAAGTAAAGTTGAAGAAAATGAAGAGTGACTTCTATGTATCTAATCTTTTGTTTTTCTCTATCGGTATCAAATAACATTAGAAATATGTTTATGTAATACGGAGAATAAATTATTGAATATTTGATAGACAGAATAGTAAGTAACATCTAGAAATGAACAAAATCGTTCCATAATATAATGACTGTCGTCGTAAAAAAACTAAAATACATGATCAAATAAATTACGCTTCATTAACTCTGATTAGAGAATCAAGTATTGAGAAGGTAATTATCCAATAAGAATATTGTCCATGTCGTGAAACAATAACGACATAATATATTTTCGTTATTTACGTATATCTATATTCAAATCAAGGTCGTGGTTCGCACAAACAAAAATATATATACTTAACCCATATTATCTCACTATTTTCAATGCGCACGATTGACTGATTTACGTTTACTTCCTTGATTTTTTTTTATCGATTGCGACACTTTTCATGTATCATTTATATTGCGCATAAGCATTGGGGGCGTATAAATAAGGAATTATCTTTGAATTGAGACGAAAATTATTATTTACCAAAAACAAACTATGTCTGCCAATACATCTGTGAATAATAATTCAAGCAATCAATCAGAACATGATAGTACTACACAAGTACTGTCTTGTACTAAAGTTTTCTTTAAACGACTGATTGGACGTAAGCTAATGAATGTATTGCAAGCTGAAATTGATATACATAATGAATTGAGACGTGATCTAAATTGGATTCAGTTACTTGCTTGAGGTATTGGTTCTATTGTTGGTCAGTGAGTTTGATAATAATACGTGCAATAAGAGTTTTGGTTTTTCCCAGGTTTTGGGATATTTATATTAAGTGGACAAGCAGCTGCAGAATATTCGGGTCCATCAGTCATCATTTCGTTCGTTATAACAGGCGTTATTGCTTTATTGACATCTTTATCATATTCAGAGTTAGGAGCAATGATGCCCATTTCTGGATCAGTTCTATGCATATACTTATGCAGGTGAGTTATTGATCGCATACGTAACTCTCTTTCATCAATACTTTTTTTTATTTTTCTAGCCTTAGGAGGTATACAATCAAAAGTATTATTATAAGACATTCGTTTTGATCTTATTCATTGTAGGATATTCAGCATGGTTTATTGGGTGGAATTCTGCGCTACTTTATCTATTTGCCGTTTTGACAGTAGTAATTTTATTGGAGCAAACATGTTGTCCTATTTGTTGATATTGTGTCTGATTATAATGCAACAAGGATGATTGTCCAAGCACCAGTGGCTTGGAATGAAGATACTCAACGGTTTTTTGTCACTGGGCAAGCGATTAATTTACCTACTATTGCAATTACTGTTGCGATTACAATTCTTCTTCTTATTCGAATTCGTTAAATGGCTATAGTCAATCTCGTATTGGTTGTATTTAAAATTATTATACTTTTAATATTTATTTTTGTTTGTTGTCATTATGTCAATTGCAATAATTATCATCCATTTTTCCTTCCAATGAAGGTATATGAATATCTTATTAATATATCTATGAAATGAATATATTTCATTGTGTCTATTAGGTTCGTTTAGTGAATATGAAGTAACAGACATGCTACAAGTATGTACTTATGTTTCCTTTGCATATGTGGGTCTTGATTCAGTTCCAACAGTGGCTCAAGAAGCGAGGTGACCAGAGAGATCATTGCCAATTGCCACTATTGAATCAACAATTATTTCACTACTATTGTATATTGCAATATGTACTGTCATGATTGAACAGATTAGTCGTACTTGTTGTAATTTTTATGGAAAAGCAACACCTTATGGTCTTTGGTTATCGATTCTTATAAATTTAGGTGCAATCGCTAGTCTTACAACTGTAGCATTGATAGGGATGCTTTCACAAACCTGGGTATTTTATGCAATGGCTCATGATGGCTTACTACCACCATTCTTTGCGAAAATTCATAAGACCACTAAAACTCCTTGGATTTCGATCATAATTAGTGGTAGTTATTTTTGCTATACAGTTTATCGAATAAAATTCATCTCGACTTTTTTAGGTATATTTTGTGCTATTTTTCCTGGTATTTATTCAGTAGACATTCTATCTCATTGAAGAAATTGAGATTAAATTTGTGTATCAAAAGAAAAATGAAACATCTAACTGTAATTCCAGAAATGAGAAAAGAAAGACAAGAACTTGTTTCGAAAATTATTTAGATATTTGTTGTTTTTTCTTTGTAATAATGAGAACAAAAATTTTCGGAGAAGATTACAAGGGAAATTATATCATTACTCTACTGACATTTGATTTATAAAGTCTTTTGAAAATAAGTCTTGCAAATAAGACAAAGCATATCTTTGATTAATTTCACGTTGATGATTCATTTGAAATAAAGTAAAAATAGTCTTTATATATAAATCTAATGTCTCTATTTGACTTTATCAACATACACGAAACAAAAATATAATACATATAAGTCAATCTAATTATTGTCAATGCAACGAATAGTCATCCGATGTTTTTATAAAGTAGTTGATTGTAGTTCTTTTTTTTGTATGTTCATTTACAAGTGTTTTTGATTGCCAATATTTTAAAAGCGATTGTTGAATTATTTCTATCAAAATTTTTATTTAAAAATTCTTCAAATAATGGTGAAGAACTTATTGCGTTAATTAAAGTAAGAATGTGTTTAAAAATGAACTCAAATATCCAATATGGATTTAATATGAACAATCATGACTATGACGCATAATTCAATTTTAAAACAAGATGAACATTTTTGCTATATTTATTTCAATATCCGTATTTGATCTTTTTAATACAGTATTAATTAGATACTATTCTTCAAAATTTGTTGATAATGGTTGTCCATTAGCTAAAACAGTTGTCATCGAATTAATATCAACCTCGTTTTCATTAGGATCAATAATAATGACTCCTGTTCTGTTTCAATATCATCAATAATATTTAATTTACAAACTTTCATGATTAAAAGTATTTTTGGTGATGCCTGAAAAATAGAAGTTCTCTTTGCCTTGACACTTGTAATATCTATTGGCGTTGTTTCTACCTATATAGAATGAAGATTTATTATGCATACTGTTTAGTACGCATTGATTTCGATATTCTCTAGAATTTGGAGTAACTGGTAATTAGTTTTATTGTATATCAATAAATAACTTACAAAGCATGTCAATATTGAGTTAATTATGCGTGATCTTCTCATTCTTCCGTTTTTTTCTTTTGTTCTATTGCGAACACGTTTAATGACGTTTTACTTTTTGTTTCAGTGAATCAAATGAATCAGCATTCAAAATTAGACTACAACAATGTTCAAGAAGTCATAATCAATTCGAAAATAGTCAGCGAACTGTTTGACTCATACAAATCAATTTTACAACTATATATTCAATTTGATGATGAATATAAATTAAAATGGTTTTTGAATTTATGATACATGTCAGAATAATCGGAACTTAAATTCGATGGCGATCTTAGCCAAATGTTTTTTTTTTCGTCTTTCTGATTCATATTAATTTATTTCTCTTTTTTTTATGTATTTCATACTAAAAATTAATTTAAAATTATTTGAAAATCTGACGTCAATAGCATATTATCTATTGAACAAAAGTTCAAGAAAATACAGAGCAAACTCTATACATTTAATCTTTTGTCTTCCTCTTATGATATTGTATGATATCGGGAATATGTTTATCTAATAAGGATGATAATTATTAATTATTTTACCAATAGAATAGTAATCAACATCTAGAAATGAATGAAATCATTCGAAAAAAGAAGACTGCAATTGCACAAACATGCAGTGCATGATCGAATAAATTACGTCTCATTAATTTTGATCGAAGAATTAAGTGTCAGCAAAGTAATTCCCATAAAAGTTGTATTTATGTAATAAAATGAAACGCACAATATATTTTCCATTATTAACGTATTTCTACATGCGAACAATGGCCGTGGAGTGTACAGTCAAGCAGATGCATAATCAACCATTATCGTCTCACCATTTTCAGGACAAAATATATACGAGAAAAGGTATAGCCGAAGCTGGATAAAGGAAAAAAGAAAAAATAGGATAATCGATAAAGACGTCTCTTGCTATTGTATGTTTCATTCTTGATTTTGTGTATATACACAATTAACATTGAAAAAAGCAACGTGTTTTAGGCACGGTTGATTAAGTTATGTTTACATCCTTTTTTTTTTTTATAACCGACATTTTATTTATCAACCATAATACCTATCTGTGCATGCCTTATATTGTGCATAAACATTAGAGGCACACACATAAACGATAATCTTTGACGCTAGACTAGAATTAATATTCATCAAAAATTATCTATGTCTGCTGATACAGCTATTAATAACAATTCAAGTTGTCAACCAGAAAATAATGTGAGGCAACGAATACTCTCTTCTACTAACACTTTCATCAAACGACTGATTGCACGTAAACCAATGGATATATTGCAAGCTGAAATTGATACACATAATGAATTGAGACGTGATCTAAGTTGGATTCAATTACTGGCTATAGGCCTTGGTTCTATTATTGGTGAGTGGACTTGATAATAATAGCTGCCATAAGAGTTTTGAATCTTCTTTTCAGGTGCTGGTATATTTGTATTAAGTGGACAAGCTGCTGCAAAATACTCTGGTCCATCAGTCATCATTTCTTTTGTTATAACAGGAGTAATTTCTTTATTGTCATCTTTATCATATTCAGAATTAGGATCAATGATGCCTAGTTCTGGATCAGTTTACACGTATACTTATGCAGGTGAGTTACTCATTGCACACTTATCTTCATTTCATGAACACTTTTTGTATTATTTTAGCCTTGGGAGGTATACAGTCAAAAGTATTGTTGTAAGACATTTGTCTTTTCTTATTCATTGTAGAGTATTTGGCATGGTTTATTGGGTGGAATTCTGCGCTACTTTATCTATTTGGCGTGTTGACAGTGGTCGTTGCTTGGAGCAAACATGTTGTCCTATTTGTTGATATTGTGTCTGATTATAATGCAACAAGGATGATTGTCCAAGCACCAGTGGCTTGGAATGAAGATACTCAACGGTTTTTTGTCACTGGGCAAGCGATTAATTTACCTGCTATTGGAATTACTGTTGCGATTACAATTCTTCTTCTTATTCGAATTCGTCAAATGGCTATAGTCAATCTCGTATTGGTTGTATTTAAAATTATTATACTTTTAATATTTATTTTTGCTTGTTGTAAATATGTTGATCCCGGTAATTATCATCCATTTTTCCCTCGCAATGAAGGTATATGAATGTCTTATTAATATATTCTAAGAAATGAATATATTTCATTGTGTCTATTAGGTTCGTTTAGTAAATATGGAGTAACAGGCATGCTACAAGCTTGTACATATGTTTTCTTTGCTTATGTGGGTTTTGATTCGGTTTCAACAGTAGCTCAAGAAGCAAGATCATCAGGGCGATCGCTGCCTATTGGCACTATTGGATCAACAATTATTTCACTACTATTGTATATTGCAATATGTACTGTGATGGTTGGACTAGTTCCATACGAGTTATTAAATTCAGATAGTCCTCTTGCTGGCGCCATGTAAGTCATTTCCAATCTTTTAAAGAATATTAGTGATACTTATTGTAATTTTTATAGAAAAGCTACACCTTATGGTCTTTGGTTATCGATTCTCATGAATTTAGGTGCAATCGCTAGTCTTGCCACAGTAGCATTGATAATGATGCTTTCACAAACTCGGATATTTTATGCAATGGCTCATGATGGTTTATTACCACCATTCTTTGCGAAAGTTCATAAGACCACTAAAACTCCTTGGATTTCGATCATAATTAGTGGTAGTTATTTTTTCTATACAGTTTATCGAATAAAATTCATCTCGACTTTTTTAGGTATATTTTGTGCTGTTTTTTCTAGTATTTTTCCGGTAGATGTTCTTGGTGAAACAACTTCTATTAGTGCTCTCATTACATATATTTTCGTTCATATTACGGTCACAGTCGTAAGTTCAAGTTATTTATTTCTCTATTCTGTCATTCGAAATATCTTCCATAGATGCGTTATACACATAGAGATATTTCACGAACATTCCAAGTGCCATTTGGTTCATGGTTGATTCCAATTATAGGTTCTTTACTTTGTATACTTCTAATGAAAGGTATAACACAACCAACTGGTTATCGATTTCTTGTATGGACAGCAATAGGTCAAATTATTTATTTTTCTTATGGTTTTTGGCATTCTAAACAACGCAAATCAATAAGAAGTAAATCAAATTTAAGTAGGATCGAGCTTCAACCAACAGTAACCAGTGTTACGGAGCAATATAAGCGTAATGGATTTGAATCGGATCTAGTTGGTGGAGACACGAAAAGTGCAGAATAAAGAACTCTCTTTACTAATACTTGTAGATATCGATTTAAAACATTCTCATTAAACAGATAGTTAAATTCTAGCATTTTATTAAATTCAATTTAAAATAACGGCTTATGTTTAATTAGATACATAGTTGATGACAATATTTGGTTTAAGAATACTGAATCTGTACTATTTTCTTGAATTCTGTTTATTACAGTTTGTGAATATAAAAATATTGTATTTGTTGTCATAAATATCTTTGTAAAATAAAATATTCGATTTGATTAACATAATTGATCGACGAGCTTGTTTTTGAAAGTTAAATATTTTTTTTTACCTTCTAAGCATTATTATAATGAAAAAAAGAAACATGATGTTATGTTTTGAAAGTAGAATGAGTAGTTAAAACTTCGATTTCGTAATTCGTAATTATTATATGCTTTTGAATGAAATTTATCTACAAGAAAATTAATGGAACTTAATATTCACTAGAAGAAATAATATCTTTGGAAGGAACACAATACAAAAAATGCGAATTGAACAAAAATGTGAGTTTGGGATATTGCGTAGGCAAAAAAAGAATTCTTTTATATTTGATTTCTAGTTATATAAACATTAGTTTTTAGCACAAAACATGCTAAGTAAAAACAAAATATGTTAGATAAATTGAACTAATTTTTTCCTAGGAGATGAGTTTTCAATGTCAAAGTTGAATATTCATTTGGCTGTTTGTATTGCTCCTCGAAAGGATGACTAACAAAAGTTTTTAATCAAAATCTCGTTGAAATGTCTTATAAAATAACTTAGTATCTTTCTGATTCATACTAGATGACCTTTGTCATAAAGAGCCAAGACAGCAAAAGAAAAGCATTAGTTTTATGATATGCCTTATATACATGGCCTTATAAGATGAACAGTCAATAGAGAACAAGTATCGGCCACTTGAAAATTTTCATGATCTTTTATTACAATAGTGAAGGTATGTTTAAAGAAAAAGAGAGCAAATCGGAATTTGGTTATGGCATATTGAGTTGGAATGACCACAACATTTTCTTTGGAACAAATCATGTAGTTATTGTTTTTGTCTTGAATTTTTTTTAATATGCACGTCAACTTGCTATATATTTTATCGTATTAAATCTTTAATTGTTTTCTGATCTATTTGTTCATTGAATTTAAAGAAACTGTTTCATTTTGTTACATCCCATATAATCATTGATTCATGCTAAGAAATCAGTTTGGGCGTGACACCAAAATTTTCCTCTTATTGACTACGTGACATCTTTATATCTATACTCAATAAAAACCTCATTAGTTATACATTATTGACTGATATCAATGAAGAGAAGATAATGGATGACAACCAAAATATGTCCACGTTGTCTGGAGAAACGATTTGTTCTGGAAGATTGTATTTGCTACAGTTAGATTATTAATTGCAGAAAAGTCGATCAATAGTATCTCGTTTTCAATAACATGAATCATTATCTACATTTCACCCATCTTATCTAATATCAGGTTCTGTTATATCCCAACCTAAGCATTCAGATTATCTGGAATGACAACCATATCTTTCTTCAGCACTAAATCAAGTGTTGATGATAGGTTTTTGTAGAATCCTTTGGAAGTTTCTCATTCGTCTCTGATCATTCACCGGATTAATCGCAACATATATAGTGCTTATCGTAATATTTGCCGGTTTACATTCCAGCCGAATCATCAGCATATCTGGATAGACAACTTCCCAGCTTGATCCCGAATTCTCCAAATATCCGCTATTGATTTATACAAACATATCGCTACTCTACAGACTTTCCTGGTCTTCTATTCACTAGATGCTGCAAAAAGTAAAACTGAATATTCATCAAATTTCAATACTTCGGAGTCGTACAATTTAGTTTCATTCACAACTGCAAATTGAACCTTCATTAACCATTGCAGTTTAACGTTCTGCTGTCAAGTAGTGAGTTCGAGAACAAATAAGTTGGCTGTCGGGTACCCAGAGATGTCTCATAACTGTTGGATGCAATTGGAGCTCTGTAAGTATTGTTGATATTTTCGTTAAGCAGTAAATACAAGTATAACCGCTTTTTACGTTGTTCTTTAATTTCTCTTAAATCAGACATACTATTTGATGAAATTTTACGATAACTATGAAATGAAAATAATTCTGAAGCAAAGCATATTGCAAGATAAATTGAGCACATTCGCTTTGTTTTTAGATGTTTTGAGACATGATTTAAAAATAATACAAGTAAATATAGAACAAGAATATTTTCATCAATTAATACAAGAAAAGCAAATTTTAAAGCAACTCAGTGATGTTCGTTAACTATTTTAATAAAGTTTTTCTCGACAGATGAAAAGTGCTCATTTATATGAAGAGTTAATAGAGATGATTTTGTTGTAAATCAACATTTAGGTAATATATGAAAATGTTGTTTCAATACATCTGATACATCATATGAACTGAAACCATCAAATTGATAATATTCAAGATCAATATCTATAAAGTCATAAAAACAGTTTATACGATAAAAAGCACTACTAAATAAACAACAATACAGATCCATTAATGATATTCTAAAAGAATTCCAGTAGACAGAACTGACTTATAAATGTTTGATCGGATCTTTGCTTTTTGACGTTAATTTACGTGCAAATTTAAATTAATGAATATTATTGTTGAAGTTGCCTATAAATTGACCATAAGTTATATAGAACAATCAGGTGACCTCTAGTAACTAACCTGTTTTTTGCTTTCTTCTTTGGGAATGTTTCAAGTCTCTTTGAAAGTTTATATCTATGATCATGAGTTAGAGAATTTATTTCTCTACAAAACAGTCGATTTTGTCTCATAAAAATACGATCTTTGTCAGTAAAAAATTAAAAAGCTCAACATCTAAAGAAGTATGTTAATACAGCTTTCTATTTTCTTTCGATATATCACGATTTCTGAAAGCATATGTGAACTCAGACAAATGTTAAGAATAAAGTAGTTTACATCGACAGATAGATCATCAATTTCTCTATCTGCTCACGATTTTTTCAATTATTTTTTGCATTGTTACGCAGTAGACGAAGACTCTAAACTAAGAATTGTTATTTCTTTCTCAGTTCATCATCGGAAGTGTTCTCAGAAATCATATTCGTTAAGGTAAGAAAAGTTATCAGCAGATTCGAGTTCTTTGAAAGAAAAAACGATTCGGGCCATTGACTAAACCCAATGAGAAATACAGCGAGTCGAATGTATCTTGGTGAGCTATATCAAATAGTGCATGCAGAGTTGTTATTTTTACGAAAGTTTACCAACATGAATGAAAGTTAAAATTTGAATTGTCTACTATAGAGAAACACCATCAAAGAAAGTTTTTCTCTAAGGAATCTCTCCGTGAATTGAGCCAATTATGAAGCATAGTTCATTCAATGCAGCCCAATAAGCTCTCTCGAATAGCAAATTTTTTATTTAATTGAAGAAAGACTTCCACTGATGAGAATTTTCTATATGTCAAAGATTGCTAACACCTGTTTATGTTGTCTGGCGATAGTGGTAATTTAAGACAACCTTAAAATGTAATCCGTTCAAGTATACCGAATAATATATCCACATTCTTCGATATCTTTGTAGCTATATAGGATAGAGTTGAATCGTTCTTTGAAGCAGGAATTTCTCGATCGTATCTTTTCATTATCAATTTACAATGAAATGTGTGTCATCGTGAAAACATGGCTGATTTCATAGAAATTAAGGAACACATTTGAATCATGCATTGGTTCATAAATCTTTTTAAACGTCAAATTGCAGAGTGCGTGAAATTTTAAGGATATAGAATGCTCACCAGCTATGGCCTAACGCGATCATATGAATTCATAGATAAGGTAACCAATGGAAATCTAGACGATCATGCGTATTAAACTTCATAATGATTAAATTTGTGTTATGCCTTCCCTTACTCTACTTAAAACGATCTTGTTGCTTATCAATTTTTTCAAACAACTTTTTATTTTTCAGTAGAATAAACTTGTAAATTAAATTTGTTCAAAATCTACAGCATGTGATTGTGGGAACTGAACCCTTCCTCATTCGGACTTATGCGTGCTAGGAAAATTGCTCACTCTCTCCCTAATATTTTCTCCTTGGATGCATCCTTCTTGTAGAAACTTTTGAGGAAAATAGAATAAAAACAATGAAAATATGTTATTCTGTTGCTCTGCAAGAGTCCTTAAACAATAGATACGAAATAGGAACACTGCTTGAGAATATACAAATAGAAGAGGAAAGAGAATTTATAGAGGCAGTAAACGCCCCGATATACTTGAACGGATAGTTAGCATCTATACGTTGAGTTGTACTTAAATTTTGTAGTTGCTTGTTGTTGAAATCCTCGTGTTTTGCTTTGGTGGTTGACTACTTGACGTAGTGTTGATGATGCCTGAAGTTTGAGAGTTTTCGGATTCCAGTGGATGGACGAGGCTGCAGTTCGATCAGTTCCCTGTTCACTCACACTCTAGTGAGCGTCTGTTCTAGTGCACACGTGTCACACAGAGTGACTACACGTGTAATCTTCTGCATACTATGGTTCTCCTAAACAACTGTACCACGTCCGTCATTGCTTGCATGAGCCTCGATGTGTGAATGTAATGTGAATATCGGTAATAGTAAATGGCAGGGTGCGTCAATGGAAATACCACATCTACACCCAAACCTTTTCCTATAGATCTTGGTTGCTGTGAAAGCTTTAATTTTTTCCTCGAATGAAACATATACCACTTGATAGAGCTCATCAAACTTCATCGATCGAGCAAAGTTTCACTAGAGACTCACTTCATGGAGAGAACTATCAGAGAAAAGCTTTCTTTGCTAGTTTTTTCCTTTAGTAGACAACCAATATTTTCGCTTTAATCTGTCCGGTTTAGATTTCGGAACAAAAAAAAAACTTCAACGCAGCATTTCATAAAACTCACCAAGCTACATCTGGTTCGCTGCACTTCTCAGTTGGCTCAGCCAATTATGTAACTCGTGTTCAAAAAAAAACTCGGATCGGTTGCTAACGCCCTTGTTTTAATGATTGCATGCGTTAACGTCATCAGAAGAACAAGCGGTTGAATGAATATACAAATAAGTGATTAGACATATCAATGACACAATTAAAGAAACATTCTATTATATCATTAAATACTATTTGTTTAAGAAACAATAACTTGATGAATCGCCTATAAGTAGTACAATAACTTGCTTGTAGATCACTCTTAGGAAAATGACATAGCTTTTTTTCCTACATACTAGAATAGAACAGCTGGTGATAACAAACTATTAACGACTACAGGGGCACTAGTACAATTCGTCGCAATCAATTCGTCGCACGATCAATTTGTCGCAAAACAATTCGTTGCACATGTATTGTAGAGAATACATTGATTGAATTAAGTGATTTAGTTTAGAATGTTATCTAATTAATCGCCTAAACAAAAATTTTTCTTTAGACTCTTTGGAGTCTTTTTCAGAATACAATGGTTTTTCAAAAGTAGAATAGAGATATCAATTTAAAGCCTATTTCAAAATTTAATTTAAAAAAATAAAAATTTGATTTTAAATAAAATTCTATGTAGATAAATGAAAAATACAACTCATTTTTTCCAATTGAAATTTAACTTTTTATTTAAAAAACGCTGAAAATTAAAACAAAAATATAAAATTGAAAACAAATCTTACAAATCTAAATTAAAAAAAATAAAGTTTTTTATTTACTGAAAACATGAATTTTAGGGGTCAAACAAACTAGAAAAATTAAAACTGAATTAACCACTAATTCGTCTTAAAAAGATGATTTAAATCTGAATTAATCAATCACGATTCTTAATTCAGTTTTAATTTTTCTTGTGTGTTTGACCCCTTAATGAAAGAAAAATGAAATTTACTTTTAATTTGTCTACATATAATTTTATTTAAAATCGAACTTTAATTTTTTTAGAGTAGATTTCTGAAATTTTTTCGATTTTATATTTTTGTTTTAATTTTCAGTTTTTTTTAAATAAAAAGTTAAATTTCAATTGGAAAACATGAATTTTATTTAAAATCAATTCTCAATATTTTTAAATTAAATTTTAAAATAGGCTTTATATTGATATCTCCATTTTATTTTTGAAGAACCATTGTATTCTGAAAAAGACTCCAAAGAGTCTAAAGAAAAATTTTTGTTTAGGCGATTAATTAGATAACATTCTAAACTAAATCACTTAATTCAATCAATGTATTCTCTACAATACATGCGCAACGAATTGTTTTGTGACAAATTGATCGTGCGACGAATTGATTGCGACGAATTGTACGCACACGAATTATCGTGCGACGAATTGATCGGTCACCGACTACAGGGTTCATTTTCTGGGTAAAATTTGTCTAAAAATAATTGTCTGAAGGATTGTTTGTTTACTAACAAAGGTTATTCTCATTATTATTGTAAACAAATAATTATTATCTTTTCATTCAGCTACCATTGTTATGATGACACCGATCAAAAGAGGCATAGAATAAAAGATTCTACTTTCTTTTTTCTCCAGGTAATATTGTAATATGAACATGAGTTGATTGGCACGTATTTTTAATTTGTTTTTTTTTCTTACTAATACAATATCCATTATAGTCAATAAAACATTATGATGATCAAGGAATACTCGGAGCTATGGTCTATACATATAATCAGTTTACTTATCATTTAAGAAGTCTTTATATTATAGTAGACATGATAATCTATCGATACGATGTTATATAGGATGCCTATTATCGAAACCTTATAAATCATTGTGCATGTGTTAACAGGTACATCTCATAGAAGGCCTTAACATTACCTTTGTATGTCCAAAGAGCAATGATGCATCCAACTGCACTTTTAGAAATGACGAAAAAAACAACACCTTACATAAAAAATGAATATAAGTATTTGTTGTTTTTTTCTCTAAGAATCAGAATAAAAAGTTTTGTAGAAGACTAAAAAGAATGTCATACAATGACTTAAGTAATGTTTGATTTATAGAGTTTGAAAAAACAGTCTTGTTAAATAAATAATGCAAATTTTTGATTACTTCCACCTTAATGATTCATTAGATATATACTAAATATTCTTTATACATCTATATAATGTGTATTTGACTTTAACGATATGTACGAAATAAAAACATAACAAACACAAATCAATCTAATTAATGTCAACGTGACGAACACTCATTCGACGTTCTTGTGAAAGAGCCGGTTGTTTTTGTTTTTGTTGTTTGTTTGAATGTATATTTACAAGTGTTTATTATTATTGCTAATGTTTAAAAACGATTGTTATGTTAGTTTTATCAAAATTTTTATTTAAAATTTTCCAGATAGTATCGGAAAATTTATATAATTGATAAAAGTTCCAGATTATTTCCGAATATAATTAGATGCTCTATGTAGATTTAATGTTAATAATAATGATTGTGAAAAATAATAAACTTGTAGAACAAAATGAACTTTTTGCCTAGCATATATTTCAATATTTTTATTTAATATCAATTAGATATTTTTCTTCAAAGTTAATTACTAATGGTTGACCATGATCTAAAATAATTGTTGTCGAATTAATATCAATATTACTTTGATTAGTATCAATAGATAATGGCTCATGCTTTGTTTCAGCATTATCATAAGTAATATCAGATTTAGTAACTTTCATTGATGGATATGTTCTTGGTGACGGTTGCCGAATAGAAATTTCTGCCGTGACTTTTTCAGTATGTATTAGCATTGTTTCTATCTGTTAATAATAAAGAACTATTGAGCATACTGTTTAGTACGTATCAATCTCAATATTCTATGGAATTCATATTAATTTATGATTGATTTTATTTGATATTATAAAATTAGACAATAACCATGTTCGAGAAGTCATATCCGATTCAAAAATAATTATCAAATAGATTGATTCACACAAATGAAATTTACAATTATCGATTGAATTTAGGTATGAATATAACAAAAAGTTTTTTGAATTTATTATTTATCTAAGAATAATAGAAACTTGAATCGAATGTCAGGCTTGGTTGAGTGCATTATTTTTTCATCTTCATGATTCATATTAATTTATTTCTCTTTTTTAATAATATACTTTAAACTAAAAATAAGTTGTTTTTTTTTCGAAATTTATGTTCAATAAGAAATAGCCTGATAAAAAAAAAGTCGACGAAAAGAAACAGCGACTTCTATGTATTTAATCCTTAATTTGTTTGTTGAGATATTGTATGATACAGGAAATATGCTTATTTAATGAGGAAAATCATTATTGATCACTTTGAGGACAGAATAATAACTAACATGTAGAAAAGAACGAAATCATTCGAAAAAAAAGACTCTCATTGCAAAAAAAAAAATGTGACACATGATTGGACAAATTACGCTTCATTAATTTTGATTGACAAAAGCAAGTATTAAAAAGGTAATTTTCAATAGAAATTGTGCCTGTTTAATGAAATGAAACAGATAAAATATTTTTTTTATATTATTTACCTACTTATATATTTGACCAATGGTCGTCGTTCGTACAGTAGAAAAAATAATTGATCAAAACAGGTCATTTCGTCATTTGAAGGTGAGAATACATGTGAGAAAATGCAGGACTGAAACTAAATGAAGGGAAAGCGAAGAAGCACAGAACAGTCGGTAAAAACGTTTTTTTCTATCGTGTGTGTCAATTTCTAGTTTTGTGCATACACAGAGTTATTGGTGACTAATCAGCGTGTTTCACGCACGATTAATTACTTAAGTCACCTTTACTTCCTTTATTTCTTTATAAACCAAAGTTTTATTCATCGATCGTAATACATTTCTATACATTTCTTATATTGTGCATAAACATACGCCCTATATAAATAAAGGATTATTTTTGACACTAGATTAGAATTATTATATACTAAGAACCATTCATGTCTACTAATATTGGTGTTGATAACAATTCAAACAGCCAATCAAAAAACGATGCTACTACACAAGTACTGTCTTGTACTAAAGTTTTCATTAAACAACTCATTGCACGTAAACCAATGGATATATTGCAAGCTGAAATTGATACACGAAATGAATTGAGACGTGACCTTAATTGGATTCAATTACTTGCTATAGGACTTGGTGCTACTATTGGTGAGTGAGATTGATAATGTTGCATGCAATAAAATTTGTGAATCTTCTTTTCAGGTGCTGGCATATTTGTATTAAGTGGACAAGCTGCTGCACAATATTCTGGCCCATCGATCATCATTTCTTTTGTTATAACAGGAGTTATTTCTTTATTGTCATCTTTATCATATTCAGAATTAGGATCAATGATGCCTAGTTCTGGATCAGTTTACACATATACTTATGCAGGTGAGTTACTGATCATTTATGCATCCTCCTTTCATGAACACTTTTTTGTATTGTTTTAGCTTTGGGAGGTATAAAATCAAAAGTATTGTTATAAGACATTCGTTTTGTTCTTATTCATTATAGAATATTTGGCATGGTTTATTGGGTGGAATACTGGATTACTTTATCTATTCGGTATTTTGACAGTGACAGTTGCTTGGGGCAAGTATGTTGTCCTATTTGTTGATATTGTGTCCGATTACAATGTAACAAGCATGATTGTCCAAGCACCAGTGGCTTGGAATGAAGATGCTGAACGTTTTTATGTTACTGGTCAAGCGATTAACTTACCTGCTATTGGAATCACTATTGCTATTACAATGCTTCTTCTTATTCGAATTCGTCAAACAGCTATAGTCAATCTCGTATTGGTTGTATTTAAAATTATTATCATCTTAATATTTATTTTTGCTTGTTGTAATTATGTCAATCGCAATAATTATAATCCGTTTTTCCCACCCAATGAAGGTATATGATTATTTTATTAGTATATATAAGCAATGAATGAATTTTATTGTGTCTATTAGGTTCGTTTAGTAAATATGGAGTAACAGGCATGCTACAAGCATGTACTTATATATTCTTCGCCTATATTGGTTTTGATTCAGTTTCAACAGTAGCTCAAGAAGCGAGATCACCAGAGAGATCGCTGCCAGTTGCTATTATCGGATCAACAATTATTTCACTACTACTTTATATTGGAATATGTACTGTGATGGTTGGACTTGTTTCATATAAGTCATTAGACTTAGATAGTCCTCTTTCTGTAGCAATGTAAGCTATTAGTAATCTCTTAGAAAATATCAGTGCTACTCATTGTAATTTTGCTTTAGAAAAGCAACACCTTATGGTCTTTGGTTATCAATTCTTATGGACTTAGGTGCGATTGCTGGTCTTACAAGTGTAGCACTGATGTTGATGCTTTCACAAACTCGGATATTTTATGCAATGGCTCATGATGGTTTATTACCACCAATCTTTGCCAAAATTCATTCAAACACGACAACTCCATGGATTTCTATATTAATTTGCGGTAACTGATCTTTTAATACAATTCATAGAATAAAAGATATGTCGGTTTTTAGGTATATTTTGTGCTGTTTTTTCTGGTATTTGTCCAGTAGATATTCTTGGTGAAACAACTTCCATTAGCGCCCTAATTACATATTTATTCGCACATATTACGGTCATAGTTGTAAGTTCAATTGATTCGATTTATATTCTGTCGTCCGGAATATCTTTTATAGATGCGCTACACACATAAAGACATGCAAAGAGTATTTCGAGTGCCATTTGGTTCATGGTTGATTCCAATTATAGGTTCTTTACTTTGTATACTTCTTATGAAAGGTATAACAAAACCAACATGTTATCGGTTTCTTGTGTGGACAGCAATAGGACAAATTATTTATTTTTCCTATGGTTTTTGGCATTCTAAGCGACGAAAATTATTGAAATGTGGATCCGTTGCAAGTAACATCGACCTTGTACCAACAGTAACAAATGCTATGGAACCATATACGAATAATGAGTCTGAATCGGACTTAGCCAGTGTAAATACTGAAAGTGCAGCATAAAAACCTTTTTCACGAATACTTTTAGACATCAAAATAAAACACTTGAATTGGAGAAAAAGTCAAATTATAACATTTTTGTTAGTCTGATTTAACATAATAAATGGTTTATTCTTCACTATATAAGTAGTTTATGGTAATATTTTGTTTTAGAGTGTATAAACTGTACTGTCTTTGCGAATATTGTTTACTAGAATTTCGAAATAGAACAAAATTTTTTTTATAAATGTGTTTAAAAATAAAATATTCCATTTGATTTTCATAATCAATTGGAACAACGTTTTTTGAACGTATAAAGTATTCTTTTACCTCCTTGTTATTATTTTAGTAAGACAAAGCGTGTAATCATGTTCGTTGAATGAGAATGTATTGTTAAGCCTTCGACTTTGAAATTCACAATTATTAGATGTTCTCAAAAAAAAACTAATCGATCTAAAATTTTCATTAGAAGAAATCTTATGTTCTGAAAGAACATAATGCAAAAATTATGGATTGAACAAAAATGTGAGTTTGTGATATTCTGTAATCGAAAAGAGGAATTCTTTTTATTCAATGTCTTGTTACAAACATTAGTTTTTAAACGCAAGCATATGGAATGAAACATACCATAGATAAATTGAAGTAAATTTTTGAGAGGAGACAAACTTTTCTCAAAGTTCAATATTCATTTTTCTGTTTGTATTGCAAATCGAAAATGCTATTGACAAAAACCATTAATCAAAATCTCATTAAATTTTTATTAAAATTACGTATTTTTTTTTGGTAATGCATATACTCAACGATTACTTTTATCAGGATACAAGACGATGAAAACAAATTAAACGCATCCATTGTATTCTATACCATGTACAGCAAGGTGCGAAAGTCTCTGCACTTGGTACTTCACGTATTTTTCTTGACGAACATGATAAATATGGAACGGAAGTATATGCACAAACAAAGCATGGTACAAGGTATACAGATATTACAATTACTAGCTCATCTTTTCTCTCTTCGGATCAATCGAAATTACATATTATGCTTTCAAAGATTTGACCATATGATTTAGAATAGTCAAGTCGAGTTCATCTCATTCTTACGCACAAATCTGTCAGATTCATCTCGATTCTATGGTTTCCATTTCTCGACTCGATTCTTGATAATCGATCAGACGTGCTTCATTAGATTGTGATCGAAGCTATTCGACGACCAGTCGACGATTTAATGCACTTCCTTGTACATGAACTGCTTTATTCACTCGACTTCTATATTTGGGTTCATAGTATTGCTGCAGTTGCAGGTATTGATTGAATTGCGTTTGACATTGCCGAGAAGGTTCGTATGATGATTTTGAATGTAGTAAAGGTCATCCATAATACTCTTGAATGAATGATGGCTAACTAGATCCTTGACACTGAAGCCGTGTCAAAGTATGATATTTTGTATTATCTTCGAAACTCCTATGCGCTCGACTGTTGAAGTAATTAACCATCGAATAAAAGGCTTTCCAAATAATTGATAGCCAGTCTTGTTGGTGAATCTAGTTCGGTTTCAATCATCTTTCTTGTGTTGAATTACATGTTGAACATGAGGGCCTTTCTGCTTGTGTCAGCATCGGCGTCGCATAGGACAATGTACTACTATAGCCCATTCATTTGAAAAGAGATGAGATTTTCCTCATGTAGAATTGTACTCATGTGGAAAATAATATAACAATATGAGTACAAAAGAATTTACAAAAGTAAAGCTAGGGATTTTAGAAAATGTTAATGTTGTTCTAATTGTTCTGGAGAAAACCACTAACTTCGTTGTCGCCTGTATCATTGAAATTCGGATCTTATCTAAAATTGTCATATTCAAGGTATTCAACAACATCATGCTCCGTTATTTTGTCTGAAACGTGATGAAATAAAGCTTTACTTTCTACAGAAAAACAATGACTACGATTTAAATGATCAGTAAAATGGATGAAACGATCACGATGTAAGAATATTTCAAAATGAGTAAATCGAATGATTGAGCAGAAAAATATTTCAATGATCAGTTATTGATTAATAAGTTCTGTGAATAAATTTAAGAATCAGTAAATATAATTATTTAACAGTAAATTAAATGAAACGATGAATATAAAAATTCAAATGTTTCTTACAAGGAAAGGTTTCTGACTGTGATCCCGAGTTTCCTTATAAAAAGTGTATGGGTTCGCTAAGTTAAGTACTCGGATTTGAGATATGAAAAAATTACCTACTGAGGCTGCTTCAGAAAAAAATTATAGGCAAAATTTTTTTTTGTATAGTTACCATGTATACGCAACTGTGTACTAGCTTATAAGGAACTATATCATCTTCACATATAATAATTAATATTAGGCTATAATCTACTTTATAAAAAGAGTGTAGTTATATGAACTGAGAGGTTCTTTACTTTTCTATTAAGAATGAATGAAGAAAAAATATAACTATTTGAGCTCTTGATGATTATGCTTTACTATATGCTTTTTACTATAGTATTCTCCTCTACTACAAAACGAGCGTTCGATTGTGAGTGAAATATGGATGTGGCTGTGTGTTCTCTGTTTCACTTGACTCACACTCACCCTGATTACAAAAAAACGAAAAAAAAACAATTACTACGAGACACAAGTCAGTTGATTCTTTTTAACAGGAAGATAGATCATCATGATCGTCGAACTTTCCTGTAGTTAAACGACGAACAGCTTCGTTAAGTTTCCAAAAGTTTTTTTTTTCTTCACCGATTCGATACATCATGTAATTAATTATTCAGTTTTGCATCTTACATTTGACCTTTTACAACAACTGTAATTAAATAGGTTTTGAAAAATTTCTTTTCATGGTAGATGTTAATGTCATTCTCATCATTGAGCACTCGTTTTGGAGTGGAGGAGAATACTATAGCAAAAAGCATATAGTGAAGCATAAGCATCAAGAGTTCAAATAGTTATCAGATATCCAAGGTGCATTTAATGTAAATCATGATGATTGTGAAACATAATTCATTTGTAGAATAGAATGATTCTTTTTGAAACATCGTCTTAATTTCTTTCTTTAATATTTTTAAAATAATATCTGTCTGATATTTTCTTCAAAATTAATTAATATAGTTGACCATTAACTATAATAATAGTCATCGAATTAATGCCAATTTAGTTTTCATCAGAACCAATAAATAGTGGTTCCTGTTCTGTTCCCATATCATCAATAATATTTGATTTAGTCACTTTCATGGATGAGAGTATTTCTGGTGACGCTTGGTCAACAGAAATCTTAATCTTGAGTTGTGGAGTATCTATTGACATTGTTCCTACCTATATAGCATGAAGTATTATTACGCATACTGCTTAGCTCGTATTGATTTTGATATTCTATAGAATTTAGATTAATCTGTAATTAGTTTTATTTTATATCAATAAGTAACTTGCCAAACATGGCAATGTTGAGTTAATCTTGCTCTATCTTTTTCATTCTTGTGTTTTTTTTTATCTTTTTCTACCTTGAACATGTTTAGTATCATGTTAAGATGAAGGCAATGCGAATTTCGAGTAAAAACTTTTTTTCGTCTTTTTTTTACATCATTTGATAGAGCGTGAGCTGCTGATCACAAAAATCTACTTTTTAGTCTCAGCAAATGCTTCCTTCCTGTCGAAAAATACGAAATACTGGAAAGATGTCATTTTTCGAGAAAAAACACACCTTTTCCAAAATGTACAAAATCTTCTACTTTGCTCTTTTTTTTTCAGCTTCCGAAAATATTTTTTCCAGGTTCAGTATCAAAAACTAAGCAGAAATAAGTTGTTGAATCGACTCTAGACCCAAAACTTTATTGGTGGTGGCGCTTCAAATTGGGTTGAATCCACCATGTATGGGTGGATTTTGTAAACCTATCTAGTTTTTCTATGTAAGTGATGGAGTCAAATATTTTATCTCATTCTATTCATCATATCACCCCTCAAATTGCTACATGTCGGTTTTTTTTCTTTTCTTTCCTATGTTGAGAAAAACCGTTTTTACTGGTACCATAGCCATTTTAGACGGTATTCATCGATTTTCGAATTCACATAAGACTTTTTGTGAAAAACTAAATAGAGATTCTGAATCAGCACAAAAACTGAGTCAAATGAAGTATCTGTCACTTTAATTTGACAACTTTTTATTCATGACACATACAAAAATTTCAGTCCTCCGACGATACCTAAAAAAAAATGAGAAAAATTGAAAGTTGTCAAATTAACTTGAAAGATACTTCATTTGACTCAGTTTTTGTGCTGATCCAGAATCTCTATTTAGTTTTTCACAAAAAGTCTTATGTGAATTCGAAGATCTATGAATACCGTCTAAAATGGCTATGGTACCAGTAAAAACGGTTTTTCTCAACATAGGAACGAAAAGAAAAAAAACCGATATGTAGCAATTTGAGGGATGGTATAATGAATACAATAAGATAAAATATTTGAATCCATCACTTACATAGAAAAACTAGATAGGTTTACAAAATCCACCCATACATAGTGGATTCAAACCAATTTGAAGCGCTACCACCAATAAAGTTTTGGGTCTAGAGTCGATTTAACAACTTATTTCTGTTCAGTTTTTGATGCTGAACCTGGAAAAAATATTTTCGGAAGCTGGAAAAAAGAGCAAAGTAGAAGTTTTTACACATTTCGGAAAAGGTGTATTTTTCTCGAAAAATGACATCTTTCGAGTATTTCGTATTTTTCGACAGGACGGAAGCATTTGCTGAGGCTAAAAAGTAGATTTTCATGAACAACAGCTCTCGCTCTATCCAATGATATAACAAAAACGAAAAAAATTTTTTACTCGAAATTCGCATTGCCGACATCTTACTTTTCATTTAAACCAATTGAATGAATCAACAATACAATTAGATATACTGTATGATCAAGAAATCATATGTGATTCGAAAATAGTTATTGAACAGCTTGATTCGCACGGAATAATTTTACAATTATAGGTTTTGTTTGAGAATTAATAGGAACTAACGTAGTGTTTGAACTTATTATTTATCAAAGGATAATTAAAAAGTCAATTTAATGTTGATCTTGCTTGACTATAATTTTTTTTTGTTTGCTGAATCATATTGTTACAGGCATGTCGCTCATATACCGTCACGTCAGTTGGTTATGTGCGCCCGGTTTGTCTCTGTTTGTTTTCTCCCCTATGTTGCTTTCTTTTATGATAATTATTCAACATGCGAGCAAGCGAGAG